AATAATAATAGCGTTAAAGAATTGCATGACTTAGTTTGGACTTTTTTTCCCCTAATATCTCTTCACACCAGTATAATAGGGTTTTTCAGTAGGTATACTAGGTAAATATCGAGAGGCTAAAATTAAAAATTAAAAATCTATCCAAACTAATGCTTTTCGATACCGAAGGCAGAACGGCTTCGTAATTCTTAGCTTCCTTCGTCCATTTCGGTGAAACATCAAACAACCTATACATGTGAAAATTTTCCCCAAAAAAATGTTTAAAAATAGTTTCCAGAAAGAATTCTTAAACAACGCATTCAATTTGTTAATGTACTCATCTTTTTTTTTTTGGACTTTTTTTTTATAAGTGGAATGTCTTGAACTTTTGATCTCTCACAACTCCTTTCTGCCCTATCATCTATCACATCCCTTCCCCCTCTCTCCTCTCTCGGATTAATGTACTCATCTTGATGCTAGGTATTCACATTTATAACAATTTTTATAAAGTTTAGTACTTGTTTTGAGGATCTAAATTCTTCGCGATTGCTAGGGCTATTAGTCGAGTTTTTTGAATAGGGTTTTGATAAGTCCAAACTTTACTCACAAATTAAATGGTGCTTTTAGGTTTGGATTTCGTTAAAAGATTCAAATTCAACTCACACTTGTATAAACGTTTCAAAGTCAGAGGTTTAACCTAGTAAGATCCTAAATTAGCTCATATTTAATTCGAGTTTAATATTCAGGGTCAAAATCTGTCAAGTCCGATTAAAGATAAAATCGAACGGTATTTTTTTTTTAACCGAATGGGTCAGACTCAGACTAATTCGACTCCATTAACAATTCTAATAGTTGCAGGAACACTTGCATAATACATTTAACAGTTGGTTCGACCGAGTTGGTTCGAACTAATCTCAGCTATTAATTTGAAATTTAAATAAATTTTAAATCAACAATCAAGATAAGCTCTAGCCTTGCCTGGTCGATCCCCACAATTAAAACCTTTAAAAGTCTTCTGCCAACATCACAGAATCCCAATTCGTGGTTTTGATGCCTGATTGACACTATACTAAGTTGTTTAGGATCACGGTTCGAAAGTGCATCGCTACAAATGAAAAGCATTTAGGTTTCATTTTGATTGGACGAAACGTCCTTTACAATAAAATTCACCATTCTTGTGCAAAATGTTTGATCATAATGAGTAAATTTTTGTCCAATATTTGAATGAATTACTGAAAAAAAAATGAATAGCATGTTGTTCCTGTTTCTTATGTTGGTTTTCTCATACTTGCACGTGTACACGTTAGTTCCTTTTACAATACCGATAGACAAACGATGTTTCCCCTTGTAGTACAAAAGAAGAAGAAGAGTAAAAACAAAAGGAATAGACGATGATTGTATAGTGTTTTGAACCATGGAGAGTTCACAATGATAATCAATAGGATATTAGCTAAATAGGTAGAGAAAAGTTGGGCGGATTTAATCCATGGGCCTTGAGATCAAAGTTCAGCGAATAAGGTTTACTGGGGTTTTTAGCTTGTCATAACTGTATGATACTGACCTACAACAAAAACCTTAGAAAGTACTATTGATCCAGATATGACGATAGAATTCTTGCTTTGATGACCCTTTGTTACTTTAAAGACAATGATGATAACTAGTTGAAGGTTGTCAGATTATTGTATGGCTTTCCGTTAATAGCTGGCATATATCATACTATATTTGAATCTTTGGAAGATTTCTTACCAAGTGTTTTCTAATCACTTTCAAGTAAGAACGTGTGACTAATTATCAATTTGGCATCTTCTTAAATTTTTTGATTCGTGGTAGCTTTTGCATCTTAGCTTTATTTCCTAAATTTTAAGGTTTTACTTTTTTTCACCGATTTCTTCACTTGTTAACAAAATCCCTGTAATTATTAATTAATAGCAGGAGGTAAATAGCTACAATTCCTTTTTGACAAAAAAAAAAGCCACAATTCCTATTTACCCATTTGCCCTCTTAGTTCTTAGCATATAGGGCATGTGAAGTGAAGCTGCTGCCAATTCACTTACGTTATGATTCACTTCTTATCCTAATTACTACTAGCGTTTTATGGTAAAAACAGTTATACACAGCATTTTGCTCCTCTATAAATGCTCTTCCATCTTTCGGCTCTTTATGAAGACATAAGTAACGTGCCAAAAGCACTTTCTGTGCTCTAACAAATGCCTACAGAGTGAGTGTGAGTGCCAATTGATCATCAATTCATACCCAAAATGAGTAGAGAAACACATATATATGAGTTGACTTTGGCTTGCAATAATAACTGATACTTCACCTTGTAATGCCAACTAAGAGAAGATTTATGTCACACCATCATAGCATTAAGATCTAAGATTTTTTTAAACTCCCAAATCAAGGGTAATTATGCCTAATGATTACATATACTAGCTAGCACAAATTACAATCAATCTATCCAGATTCAAGAGTAAACTTGAGGCCCTTTAAATTGTTGCTTCTCCACTTTATCCATAACTCTTCATAGAACCACCAAACCTAACCTAAAAAACCTCTCTCCCTCTTGTATTCAGAAGAAGATCATGGCAAAGAAACCTAGCATGGGTCGCCAAAAGATCAAAATTGCAAAAATTGAGATCAAGAATCATCTCCAAGTTACATTTTCAAAACGCCGTTCGGGACTCTATAAGAAGGCGCACGAACTCAGCACTCTCTGTGGCGTTGAATTAGCCATTATAGTTTTTTCCCCAGCGGGAAAAGTATTTTCTTTTGGCCATCCTAGTGTCGATTACATAATCGATAAATTCATTGCGCGATGCAGAAATCCTCAGCCAAACTCGAGTGCACTCCACCTCGTTGGGGCTCACAGGAATGCCAGTAGTGTCCGGGAGCTCAACTTGCAGCTCACTCAAATTCTCAGTGAATTAGAAGTTGAGAAGAAAAGAGGCGAGGCATTTGATCTCATGAGAAAAGCCAGCAAAAATCATTATTGGTGGGAATCCCCTGTTAATGAACTTGGATTACACGAACTTGAACAACTAAGAGATTCACTGGAAAACATGAAAAACAGTGTGACGAGTCATGCTAGCAAGGTGGCGGCTGAGGCTAATTACAACAATTCTTCATTTTTTTACACTAAACAATTGTGCTGCTGCGGGATTGTATCATCAATATGAGAGCAAACCAACCGGGGTCAGCGTGGGTTCGGTCCATCCTAATATCTTCAACTTTGGATATGATAATGGAGGATTTTGAAGCCTATTCGGTATAAACTTATCTCGTTTTTCCGATTTGACTTTGGTGCATCAAGCTAGTGCCTCGCTAGTCTAAACTGTCAATAATTATGTCATTGCTCTTCTCTGATGATTCCTCCATCAATCTACTATAAATAGTTTAATCTCATAAAGGGTGCGTTTGGTACTATAGAATTGAAATTGAATTAGAATTCGAATTCTATAAAATTGGAATTCCGAGTCATTGCAATTCTTTCGTTTGGAAAATGCATAGAATTGGTATGGAATTTCAAATTCTTTATTTGCGTGAGAGAAGAATTCATTAGATATTCATGAGATAAAAAAAGTAGCTCAAAAAATAATAAAGGTGGTGAGAAAAAATTGTGTTAAAAATCCCCAATAAAGTTTTTCCCAAACAACTACTATTCAAACAAACAATTTGGCTTCTAATTAGGATTAAAAGCAGTGAAACATCTCCAACAATCAACCGAGCTGCATGATACCCCTAGCGATTCTTGCACCTACTTTGGACCTTTGATCTGAACTGAATTAATGAAAAAGATAACTTCATCAATTTCATTAGATAAATGACCTTTGCAGCTTCACCCTCACCTTCAGTGGGATCCTTAATTGACGAGGCTAACTAAACAAAGGGAATTTGTCTTTTGATTTCCAGGGCAGGCTAGTCGTCCATTAGTGGCGGTCCGTGGACTTTTACTTTGGACATCTTACATGTTATGTTAGTTGAATTCCGTAGCACAGCCTTCACATCACTTAGAGCTATCAGCTATAATATTTGACAGTTGAGTTATTTTTCATGTTATAAACATGTAACCGAGAGAAAACATGAACATTGTACTCTTCCTATCAGAGACCTTAGTTAGTGTACCAACAATGGTTCAAAGACTTGGCTGAGTCGTCACCAGAAATGGGCTTTCCGATCCGATACCAGGATGAGATGGTTCCGAGATAATGAATTGTCGAGAACTTGGCCGAATCACCGAAAACTCAACCAAGACGTCTTCGAAATGGATAGAAACGGTCGAATCGTCCCGAGTCACTCCGAATCATCCCAAATCAATTTGAATTTTTATTATTTTTACTAATTTTTAATTATTTTTGTTTATCATATTTTTTACAATTTTTAAAATATTAAATATTTTAAAAATTTGCGTTTCGCTGAGACCGCGGTCGATGCGTCGAGACAGATGTGGAACAGTTTGGGCCGCGACCGCAACTGCGACGGCGACTTTGAACCATGTTACCAACACGATTGTGATTCCTTTGATGACATGTTTTATAAGAGTGGGTAGAGGATTTATATATATATATATATGAAGTTTCTTGAAACCTACTAATGTATTTCTTTAGTGACATGTGCTAAATTTCCAAAACCCTATTTGATTATGAACAATGTGATTGATGGTAGTTTGATAGCGTACCATGTTTGTAAAAAACAAAACATTTCTAGGGGAAAGTGGAAAGATTGTGCATGACGCAGGAAACCATATGCTCAACCCCTCCTCTCATCGTCAACAAGCTGAATTCATTTCACCATCCATTGTCAACGTGGACTGCAATTGCCATTGATTCCCAACCAAAAGTACTCGTGCTGCTTGCAGCTTAGATATTGGCAACTTTTCTTAGTAGCTATCCACATTCAAATACCTTAATAAAAAAATAAAGGGGACGGTTTAGAGATCAGTTTGAAACCTCGGGCTGATTTTATCTACAGCTAGTATAAATTTGAGGTAAATTAGGCACATTTCCCCCACATCCGAAGTCGAGAATCAAGCTACCCTACCTAGGCAGAAGTAAAGTCCACAGCCATAATCATGGATCTCCTACGCTTCAAATTTGTCTTAATCAGCATATTCAGTCTGGCTAAAATAAACTTAGTCCTTGGACACATTGGCACTGCCACTTCTTACAATCCTCCATATACCCGTGAGCAACATTTGATTTCTCAGAAGTTTCTATATCATTATTTAGCAGCAGCTTTTTTGTTTTTTCAGTTGTTTGAGAATCGTATTAGGAAGGATATGGAATTTGATTATAAAATTTACTCTAAATTTAACTCGTGCAGCCACCAAGTGCGGGGGAAACAGAAATGATCAGTTTCCAGCAGGAAATCTGTTCGTTGCTGTGAGTGAAGGGCTGTGGGATAACGGGGCTGCATGCGGCAGACGCTACAGATTAAGATGCTTGAGCGGCAGCAACAAGCCATGCAGAGATATTGGCACCACCATCGACGTTAGGGTGGTGGATTTCTGCCCAAGACGCCCATGCCCTTCCACCATTGTTTTGTCTAGTGATGCTTTTGCAGCTATCTCCCGCAACCCTGATGCCAAAATCAACATTGAATACATCCAGTACTTACACTTCTTCCTTGTCTCCAGCTTATTATCTTCACTATGTTCTTCGGTTGCTCCATTGCTTAATATTTTACGTCACACCTTTTGCAGGATATGAAGAGGGATTTGACTTCCATATATATATATATATATATACGTGTAATTTTACGGGCTGAAGATCAAGAGGAAAAGGGCATCCTTGGAAATAGGAACAGAACTAGATAGCAAAATGTTGTTTAAAAATTCATTTCCCTTTGTTATCGGTATATCCTATTAAATGATGGCAAACGAGCACAAAAAATGTACTAAAAGTTTCGACGTGATGTACACATCAAATGATTTCAAGAGATGGTTCCCGAAATTGAGTTGCTTTTGCATTAAGAGTACCAAAGCTTTCCTTTTGATTCTGGAAATACGGATGAAGATGGCGGACACCTTCCAGGTATAAAGGTGTTTGCATCTCAATCAAGCGGGAAACCTGCATGTACCAGCCTTTTAGTTCATGCCCTAATGTACAGTATATAGAGGCCACAATCACAACCACAACTTACCAGATAACAAAGATAGAACAAAAGATATTAACAGATTATTCCTGATAGCAAATCTTAGGCCATGGCGAATACACCAGTCAAGAACTGAGTTAATGAATCCACCAGATTCATCTTATTATGGCAGCATGACAATTTCTTCTGCTAGTCTAATGAAGCAGGTATTATTGGGTGCAGCATGGAACACTATCTGAATGTTGCTAGGGGTACAAGTCTTAGTTGTTTTGACGACAAACTTGTTTTCATCAATGGCAATAGTGGGTTAAGTGTTACAAAACCAACTCAAGGAGTAAAGTGGGAGAAAGTAACTTTAAGACTAACATGCAAAGCATGCTAAACCTGATGGGGTTTTACTGCGATTAACCCTTCAGGGAAATTGCAATAACCTTCTATGAGAAGGTTTAACATGCTAAACTATGGACTTAGAAACAGCATTTCCTATGACTTGACAGAAAAAATGTAGAACATTCATGATAAAAGACGGCAAAAATTGACAATCACGCAAAAAATGACTTACAGCTCGGCGAAATGCAAACATCTCCTCTTGACCAGATAGCATGGAAGTAATTCCAGTTGGTGTACCACCAGAACTAACTGTGCCCTCTGCTAGAACATCTCGTCGCAGTTTGGCACCTTCAGTCTCTGTTTCAAATTGGAAGCTGGAAAAGGAGAGCAGAAATGAACCAATGTAGTCTTTATAACCAAAGACAGAAGTTGAAGCTAAAAGACAGGTGATGTAGATGGTATATTGCTTAAACTTTAAAGTTTTCCAGCAACTCTAGACGGGTCAAAGACTGGCCTTACGAATGTTATCCATTCATATTTGATTCGATTTTCTCACTGAGAATGTACTTGACCAGAAACTTGATCATCAGTCACCAGACATAAAAGAGAAGTAATGTCTATGCCAAAAGTCACTTCCATACTCTTTTAAAACAGTAAATTCACTTTATCCATTTTACTGCCAATCCTGATATCATGCTACCAACCTAGTGCATACCCTTAGATTTCTTAATAGCAGGTTTAGATGACATTGCCATTTGGGAAGCAATGTGTAATATAAAACTATGTCTTTTGCATTAAAAAGAGACAATTATTTGTGCCTAAATTTGAATTGATCAATTTATCACATCACTCTGTTAATGAAAATGTTATGATTCATTTTCTGGAGGGAAATATCACGTCTGCATACAAGGACGACATATTTGGTCTTTTAATCCTCGAATCCTTTCATAAGTATTACTAACATAACAATCTATTCTACTAAAATCAATTATTCATTGAAATCGCAGCAAGTAAATCATCTCTCTCTCTCTCTCTCTCTCTCTAATGTATATTAATGCTTTAGGATTGTCCTTGACGAATCATAGTTAATTTACATTATGAGATATTAGGCCAAAAGCACACTAAGTCATAAAAAGAAAAAATAAAGACGTACAGGGCAACATAAAACTGAACTGTCAGAATATAGGAAAAACAAAAATGAAAATAGGGCACACCGTAAGCAGAGGTAAAGCACAGCGCACATTTTTCACTGAAAATTGACACATAAAACTTGCATCATGAGAAACAATGTCAAAATGGTACAATAAAACCCTAGCTAATGAAAGAACTTGGCTCTGCTCAGGAGAAAAGAAGCAGAAAACAGATATAATTAAAAAAAATGAAAAAAAAACCTCCATGGCTCTAGGAAACTTCTCATAATAGAATTTTGATACTTTTAGGGAATACTTTGTTATATAACATTGATCTATAATGAATTGATGACATGTTGCAAGTATGCTAGGTAGTGTAAAATAATTTCTGATGAAACTCATGCGTGTCAATAGATGAAAGAGCTAACTAAGCAAAGCCAAAGGGTGTGGGGGTCATCCATGGACCAATGTGTCAAGAAACTCACAAAAGAAGAATGATCAAATGATTTCCTCACCTCTCCAAGTCAAAAAGTGTACCCTCTTCAGTTCCTTGAAATAGGTCATCTATTGAAGAAGCAGCAGAACAGTATAGGCAGCAATGGTGATTGTAAAGTTCATCAATGAGAGTTATAAATCTCCGAGCCTGGAAGCGAGAAACCCAGTATCGGTAATTGTAGCTGGTAATCATACAGAAGCAATATCAATCTGTTTATTAGACTGTCAGTCTATCAGTTTGTCTTAGCTTTCCAAAGATAAGATAATCATTGGAAGCTTTAGAATGCTCACACATTGGTCAGTCTTATCCAAGAAAAACAGGATAACCTGATAAACTGCACAAGCACCTTGCAAGCATATAGAGCAATCTATTAGGTAGCTTGTAAACTGTTGTCCTTAAAAGGTGCCTTAAATTGTTTCACTAAAATGGCACCATATTTTAGTATGCTGAAAACTATGATCCCTAAATACACTGAGGGCGACTATACTTCAGAAACCCATCCATGAGACTGAATAAGCCACCATGATCCATGGAACATGTTCAAACTCAAGCTAAGCGCATAGCAATCAGGAATCTAGAAGCTGTATCTTATTGTATACTACTAATGGTGGCTGGTAAGTTTCGAAGTAAGTTTATCATAAACCTTGAGACAAGTATGATTTTCCCTTGAGATGACATTTTAAGGGAACCTGTTCGACCTTCAAAAGCTCCCTTCCCCCTTGATGTAATAGGTAAAATAAGAAAAGAAAGACTAAAGTGAAAAATAGGCAATTTCTCCTTACATTAAACTGAAAGAAGGAAAAAGAAGAATGTCAAGTGAACAGCATGGGCGATAAGAAGCATATCTATTCATTTAAAGCCTGATGTAAATCACAAAAACTTGCATGCACAAAAATGCTGTAGGAATTGATACTGATGTACTGAAGGAAATAGCATTCACTTAAGCAGCCTTGGTACCTTATCACGAATTCGCATGCTCATAGTAGGGATGTCTGAGATAAAGATCATGTGGTAATTTTTAGCTACAGAAATATAATCTGCGGCTCCAACCTGCAATAATTGCTAATGGGATCAAACAGGAAAAAGAAGGTAAAGGGGGACGTGCAACAAGGTCAAGCATCAAAAAATTAAATTAAAATGCAGTGCAGATGTCACTGAGTGGTTGGTTCATCTATCAGGGACAGGAATTGATAGCTTTAGTATACACTCACAAACAGTAAGAATCATCTGAGACTTGGAAGATATTTTTTAGGAAGGAATACTCATATTTTTCCACCAAAGTACTTTTCTTTGTAGTAATATCCAATAATATGACAGTATGAACTCTTTGAATATTGATCTAGACATGGACCTAGCTATTTTCATTTGTTTCATCAAGTTTCCTTCCTTTTGTTTGCAAAAGTACATTACAAGATGGAAGGAAGGATTTCAATTTAAAGATGTGCAAAAATATACGAGGCACAAATCTTAGAAAGAGTCAAAGCAAGTTTAACAGTCTTTAGTCGTAAAATCGACCAGATATTGCTTCTGTTTTCGAATGTTTTCAGATAATGAATGATACTAAATATGCATCAGCATACACACAATAGAAATTGTTCCAGCATGAACAGAGCGCCAAAAGAGAGAGAAAAAAGATAGACTAGCTTTGAATTAGTGATACTATAAAAAAACACTAAACCACAATCTAAATATTTCGAGCTTTTCTATTTACAGTACCATCATTTAAACAATCCTAAATCATTATAGGCAGGTTTCAGCTTATAAATTATTTTGAAGAAAGAATGATTTAGATGGTATTAATTTAAATAGCACAACAATATAAAAGATACTTTTACCCAAAATGAAGCAATTTACCGGTCGACCGCATAGGTACTCAAATGTGAAACGTGCCAAACCGTTACAGCTTAGGCGAACCTCCAATGTTCTGATTGCGAAAAAAATGTAATATCAAAAGCTGAGTGAGATATATCAGTAAAATGGACGCAGATAGATTGAAGAGTACCTCCCAAACATCACTCGAATTGCCTTTGAAGTGATTATTCCCCCAGATAGTCTTGTAAGCTTGTCCCACATAATCTCAAATTCCTCTGTTTTGATACTATTCAGTGGCCAAAAATAATGAACCTGAATAGACATAGGAAAATGGAGATGCACTTAACCCCAAAAACAACATCTAAGTACAGGTTGGACTTATTCTATGACTAACAGATAACCAATATATTGGAGCAACGAAGACGATGAGACTGAAGTAGAATATAGAAAATTCAATTAAGTTCAGAAAGAAACAAAAATATATATCTCAACCACACCAACTAAGACTCAAGTTCATCTTTTTGCCAGGAGAATCTTTAGAAATGTTACGAGTGTGAATATTCCTACAGCTGAATGGACCAATTAAAGAATTTAGACAAAAAGAAACTGAATCTTATTGCAATGTAATACCACATTCTTGTTTAGCAAACCATTCATTATTCAGAGCTATCTCCAGGATACACCTTCAAATGTGCTTAAATTTTCAAGCTTGTTCTTTTTATTGCTCTCTTTGTCAATCATTAAGGTTCTGTACAATACTCGTACATCTGCATGTATGGTAATTAAGGATGTGGCCATCACATCTTTCACAACTAAAAGTCATAAAAACAGAAACACATGGAAAAGATAATTGATTTGCCTTCATGCTCACCTGATCAATAGATCTTTTTGCTATAAGACGGCGATAGTCAATTTCACTTCCTATTAGACAGTTATCACATTGTTCATCCAATTTTGCTACAAGCTTTTGGAAGATTTCCTTTTGCATACCATCCTGAAAGGAAGGAGAGAAGTTGCAGGAACATTTTATATGGGGTGCAATATATGTTCAAAGTCCCATGCATAGCATGTCACAGAGTCCTGGATAGAACACCAAAGGAAGCATAAAAACATAAATTTATTTAGTATAAAGACACCTGATTCAGGTCTCTCGGTGCACGATTACTGGTGGCAACAAGAATTGTTCCATTGCTTAACAATCTACTTAGAATTCCAGATAATGCTACGATTGCAAAAACATCAACTGTCTGCAAGAGCAAGTAAGATATTAAATTTAAAGATTCCGTCTCCAAAATTTCAATCCGACTCAGAAATTTGCACGAAATAAAGAATATAACTTAATCATTCAAAGAAAAATTATGCCCCACTCATTTGCAGAAAATAATATAAGGTAAAACAAAACCCGCTTCATAATATAATTCCAATATCCAGTTCAAGTAGCAGTAAACTGATCTACAAAATGAATCACGTTAGATGTAGTAGTACAATAACATAACACTTAGTCATGTTGCAAATTAGATTTCTTTAACAGGGTCTGTTATTCATGTTTGTACTTAGGAATTCTACAAGGGTAGAACTCAAACATTTTATTACAGTAGATGACTAACTTGAATATTCTGTCTTCCCACTTATAGTAACAAACATCAGTTGAACCTAATATTCTTGCTCAGATAACTAACAAAAAAAAGGATTTATAAAGAAGACAGTAACAGATATCTGTAGGTAAGGATGTAGATAATTCTTGAAGAACCACTAAAGTAAATCTATGAAACATTACATCATCAGACCTGTATTTCATCAAAGCACAGAAGGCTAGCTCCTGCATGATTTCCATGGGCTTCAGTGAGAAACTTATCAGCTACAGCAGGAAGGATGTTTTTCATCTGCACCTCTTGCTTATATCTTTCTTCTGCAGCTAACCACTCTTTAATTTTTGTATCAAAGGGAAGATTAGTAATCCAACTAGAAATACTTGACTGCAAACTTTTATTCTTAACTTGATCCTTCCATATCTTATGCATGTGCTCATTTATTAACAGCATAGCCTGTCGAGAAAAGACATTTTTAAAGAGCAATAAAAAAATAATTATGGAAACAAAAATGAAAATCCGCAAAAATTAAGGTTTGAAGCAAGTTAAGCCCAAACCAACTTATATTGTGTGTGTGTGTGTGTGTGTCTTTATTTGTGTTCTGCATGCTTCCTGTTGGTCAACATTCCTCAAGCCAGATGAGGAGTGAGTACTTTTGATTTGCCAAAGCATTAGTTGGTACAGAGTGGTCTTAATATAAAACCTACTCCTCCATCTGTTAATGTTGATATCTACACATGATGGGTTTGTAGAGAAACATTATAGGTAAAGCAAATGTGGTGTCACTGACTACTGTGGCACGTTAAATATTTCCCTATTAGTTCTGTGATTCTATCCTCCTGTACCAACTTCATGATGTGCTAATTCTGAAAGTTTGATTCATTCTTCTTCTGCTTTTACAGAAGTAGTTATCAACTTTTTAACTGCTGCCTTCTTGCACTACCTACCCAGAAAGTCTTGTTTACGTCCATCAATCAGTTTTAAGCTTCTTACCAAGAAAAACAAGGATAGAGCAACGACTAGACCTACTACAGAACTTTCAATGTGGAATCCATGAGAGTTTGTTATACCTTTGATAGGAAGCATCAAGCAAAAAGAAGCTATAATTAGAATAAATGCAATATATGCTCCATTTTAATCTCATTTGCCTTAAACTCTACAAGTCTTTTGTTTGTGGTTTATCATCTTATGGAATGCCTAGGGTTCTCTCACCAAATGCCTTACAGTCAAAAGAAAGACATGCCAGAAGTCAAAGAAGATATAGCAGGGCTTACATATGCCCATCCAACATTGACAAGGAGAAACCAAGAAGAAACAAGATATGATGAACCAAATAAAAGCTAGCAAAGTGGAGACTGGCAAATGAACAGAAAGTAATAAGAACTTGTAACTTAATTTTTTCCAAGTAGAATTGCATAACAGCTGCTTAGGAAAATAATTCACATAATAAAATTCAGAAGATGGCATAGTGAAATTACACCACACTCTGTACCAGTATGCAGTCACCTCATGAAAGTGAAATCTTCTTTGGTGTTTTACAACTCCTTCAGTCGCACCATAAAACATATCCATAAGCATTGTCTTACCTAAATGATGCAAAAATTTCTTCAAATTGGTATGTGAAAAAGTAAAACCACAACCAGAATAATATTAATAGAGAGAGATGCTGTGTATTAACATGCTATTCATGTTAGATTGCATGTCTACTTTATAAAAGATAAGTGAAATCATTGAATCCTTTTAGTGCCTTAATGTAGTAACATACTAGAAATCTTAAGTGCAGAAATGTGCATTGGCAAGGAAGTGCAGATAATCAAGATGCAGGAACGAACCACTTCCAACGTTCCCATAAAGATACAATCCTCTGGGGGCTGGAGGAGCAGTGGGACGACGACCAACCAGTGAATCTAATTTCTTCTCTCGATTAAGATATGAGACCCATTTCCCTACTCCTGGCTCTACAATTTCATGTTTCTTCCTGAATGAAGACAAATATCACTAGCAGGGAAAAAATATATTTCTTTTGACTGATGAAGGGAGCAAAATACAGGAATTGGACCTCATGCTGAACTTTACAGAATTCGCAACTGGTTCAATGACAGGAAATCCTATTCAGATTTTTGTGAACCAACGTATAATTCATTGAAATATCCAGTTTCAGTATTGCTACAAAATCAAGGGAAAATTGATAGCCTTACCAGGACATCCATCTTTGGAAAAGATTTCGCTGCTTGCTTATTGATGTCATACCACCCCCCTCTTGTTTGGTCTCAGCTTCCTGCATCAAAAGCCTGCGCCGTTCGTTTTCCCTCTTCTGCTCCCATTTGGTAAGCTTTTCCTATGAATATGAGGAACAACATAAGGCCAGGAACAGCGTTTCAGTATTATTTAACCACTATAAACTGTTGTGGCCTACATGGTACTCCTCCATATCTTTCTCATATTGCTCCATTCTCCCAAGCAGATTTTCCAGTTTAAAAGCAACCTCTTCCTGGTAAGGATCATGCTGCAGCTTCCCTTGCTTAACAAGACTCCTATACTGTGCAAGTGGCCCTGCAGGAGATCCATTGAAAAGATAATTTGAGTTCACAGCTAAACAACTTGGAAAATAAATGCAAAGGCACAGATAATCTAGTATAACCAATGTCTTGCACCTAACAAAATTATGCTCCAAAGGGATAAAAAATATACTGTATCACTGCATTCAGTATCTCTAAGCATTCTTGTAAGAAAAGATGGAAGCAACACTAAATATATACTTTTTGTCGGTAAATATATTCTGAAGTTTTGAGCATTGTGCAGACACAAGTACACAACAAGATAATGCACAATCTCTCAGCATTTAATCAGAGCAAGAGGCAGGGGAAAAAATAATTGATCCGGTAGCTTTCTGGGTACCAACTTTGAGTATGAACTCTATGTTACTTTCTCCTCTTATGATATATTAGGTAAATCACCTAAGAAACAGACAATTTTACAGTTTAGAAAATCTAGTAAAGAACCTGAATGCTGCCAAAAATGGGGAGCAATTTGTCCAGTGATTTTAGTGTTCTCTATTGCAGAATCAAGTTGTAACACATCTAGATCTTCATAACCAACAATCCATTGGAGAACCACCAGCAAAAGCTGAACATGTGAGTAGAGGAATTAAATAATACTCTCCCTCCTCATGCGTGGAAGGTATATCATTGTAATAGGCCAAACATGTGGGACAAAAAATTAATAGGATATACAGATAAAGCCCTCAGTAGGTTGACGTAATTTTCCATTACAAAGTACAATATCCATTTATTAATGCATCATAGACCCTAACCCATGTAAAATGTAGTCCCCAGCAAAACAAGATACATTGTGTGATTGAGAGCTTGGACTCCCTAGAGAAGCACTAATCAACTAAAGCAGTCTTCACTCAATAATCAACCAAAGCTAAACGGTCTCCATTCAGAATATTAAACTGTTTGTCAAGCATCAGAAAGAACAATATAAAAGCTTCATAGAAGCATTCTCCGAGATAACAGATTAACAAGTTAAGATTGGAGCATTTCTCTGTCCAGGGAATCAAGCATATAAAAGGAAATCTTCGCAGAATGGTTTAACTAGTAAGACCACATGGTAGATCTCTAGCTAGCCATCCTTTGAGCAGCCATATCCATGAGAGAAAAACCTCACATGACCTGCTTTTTGTCCAGTTTTCAGTTGCTCTTATTTCTCACTCACACAGTATGACATTGGCTTTTATTCGTGAATGGGATATATCTAACAAAGAGAGGGCAATAAAGTGAAAAGGAAGGAAGAATGATAGAGAAGAAAACTTGCAATTTTTCTCAATGAAGCCACGAGGTTAGGCTTTCTGTATAATGGTTTAGTGCTCATGAAATTGCGACTCATTATATAATTTTCAGACTTTTTAAACTATAATCAAATTTTGACATGCGAAATATGAAGAGAACTGAGCAGTGGCTTAAGTTAGTGTGTCAATAAGTTTGGACATTTCTGTAGTGAAAAAGACAAATCAATAATTAGAATTATTTTCATGAAACATTTGCTTACATAAAATTTTTATTTTATTTTTATATAATAATTTTTTTCTTACATTTAGCTAATTTTTACTAAAAATTTAAAGGAAAAAATCAATTTATGCCTTTAATAATTTATTTTTTCGTGCATTTAGCTAATTGTTACTAAAGCTTTAAAGAAAAAAGCAAATTACTTCCTTTTTTTTGGCAAAATACCAGCCAAAGCCCCAAAACCAGCTGAGACATTCAGCAAAAATTACAACCAACAATGACAATATAAATAGAAAATATTGCAACAATGACAATATAAAGTGTCATTGAATTCAAGCCCCGTAGAATTGAAATTCAATTCTAATTATTTGGGAAAGTTAGAAGCCAAACAAAAGAATTAGAATTGAGGCTTCCAATTCCAATTCTATGCCTCAATTCTATAGGAACCAAACCACCCAAACAAAAGTGTCATTGCTTAAATTGTTTCAAAGCCTGCCCCATTCATTCACCCCCAAAAAAAATAATAATAACAAAACGGAACGTAGAGAATAACTTCACTGTGGTTCAATTCCTGGACGTAATTAGGTGAGGCAACTTATACAATGCACAAAAAGTAGTTGAGTTGATTTTTTCCATTCAATTTGAGCGGATGAGGGGTGAAAGTGGAATTTAACAAGCTCCATTCCTAGAGTCCGAGCTACATCGCACTTGCCTGGCACGGATTAAGGAAATAATTGGAAAAATTGTTTACTAAGAGTCCTATATACTTAATACATGTAAATCATACTCGATTACCGCCCACGGATTAAGGAAATAATTGGAAAAGTAGTTTCATTTTTATTGATCTATTTAACGAAGTTGAATTGAGAACATTTTGGAGACACTTTAGTTGTCACCAAGCTGAGGAAATATATTTTTCTAATTTTAACCTAGGCAAGAAAATACTTAGCCAAAAAAAGAAGAAGAAATAATTAGATTTTTGGAAGTATATATGTTTCTATATGTTGATGCATGAATTCATCCAAACAATATGTATATCGCTTTGCTAAAAGATAATAAACCATTAACTACTTAAACTAACTACACATGCCATTAAATAACAATTTGATCGTTTGTTTTTTTTTTTGTAATTTTGATGAAATGATTAGATCGATAGTTCTCAACAATGCCATTTTCTTGGTCAGTGTGAGAGAGTAAATTATGTTTTGCCAGGAAAAGAAGAAAATAGCTGTTAATTCTAGACAAATTGTCCATTTCTAAGTTTAATCCATCAATCAATAAGGAGTTAACACTAATTTATATTTTGTCGAAAAAAAAGAGAGAAAAAGATAGAGATGTTACTCTACATAAATCATCCATTTCTAAGTTTAATCCATCAATCAAGGGGAAATTAGGAGGGTGAAACAATGGAAACTGGAGAAAATATATCGACCGAATCACAATAAAATCTTTGACGTTTTTAGGAAACAAAATTACGGGTAAATATTAAGGAAGGTGGAACCTTATATAATAATAGGATGGGATGCCAAAGCAATGTAGCTAGCCCTTAATTCATCAAAATCCCACCAAAAGACAAAAAAAAAAAAAAGGCGAAAATGAACAACATGATGATGAAGAAGAAGACGACCCAAGGTCGAAAAAAAATCGAGATCAAGAAGATAGACAACTTGAGCAACAGGCAAGTAACCTTCTCCAAGCGAAGAGTCGGTCTCTTCAAGAAAGCAAGTGAACTTTGCGTCTTGACCGGGGCAGAAGTTGCCATCATCGTTCATTCTTTGGGCAAGCGCGTCTTTGCTTTTGGTCACCCCAACATTGACGCTGTTATTAACCGCTATACCACGGGATCGGCATCATCATCATCATCATCATCCTCCTCGTCATCCGTTGCTGATCCGAAAATCCCACTGGGTGCTCATGAGATTCAACAACACAACCGACACTATGCTAAAGTGTCCAAAGAATTAGAGGTCGAGAGAAAAAGAAAGGAATTGATTGAAGGTTCGAAGTTAGAGAACGGTGGGAGTTTTTGGTGGGATGACCCAATTGAGCATATGGGTTTGGAGGACCTTCAACAGTATAAAGCTTCATTGGAAGAGTTGAAGAAAAAGCTGTTGATGAGAGCCGATGACTTGATATTGTTGAAAAATTCTTCTTCTTCTTCAACTAATTTGGGCTTAAATAATAGCGGTGATATCAATCCCGGCGTGACTGCAGTTGGTTGTGATGATATGTTCTTCAATCAGACGACGACTGAATACTGCAACAACTCCATCGTTCCTTATGGTTCTGATGACTTCGGAAATTCTCTGCAGGTTTGAAGATCTGTGGTTGGCAAAGTCAGGATAAGTTTAATATATGCATGGCTTTCAGCAGTTTTTTTTTACTGTTTAGTTTATTGACGATTTTTCACAGTGTTGTTAGCGTTCGTTCCTTATGAATTACTATAAATTAGGCTCTTGCAGTGTTTTATTTTATTGTGTTGACTGATGTCTCTTTTTTTGTTTTTGTCTTTCAGTGATTTTTAAGTAGGGAGTATTCTTTATCTCCCCCTCTATGCGTGCATATATTTATATATATATGTGTGTGCGATCCAATCTTAAATAATTGATATTAGTGTTAAAAAGCACACTTACTTTGTGTGCAATTTAGAAATCATTATTATTTTTTATGAATTTGTAAATTTTATTGTTTCATTAATAAATTTTATAAGAACTTTTCATTAACAAACTTCAATTTATAATTAATTTTTTCTTCAATTAAAAATAGATAATTTGGTAATTGCAATATTTAGAGTGATTATGTTGGTAAATGTGATCACGTGACTTAGGGTAAAAAATTAATTTTCTAAGAATAAAATTGAAAGTTCGAAAAAAAATTGTAGAAAATATTTACACTGGCTGTCAATGCCCTCTTCTTATATATTGTATAAGATTGAGGGCCTGGACTAAATGACACCAAATAGACAAAGTGAGATGTGTAAAAATAATTAATCCAAGTTTCCTTTCCTTTTTCTTTTAAATCCAATAGTATATTGCATGAAATTAAAAGCTTTAAGCAGTAAACTTACAGGATCAATCAAGCCCAAATCATGGGCTACATACAACCTCGGCCTATCTAAAGTTTTATTTACTGATGCAGGCTGACCCACTGCAAACAAGGTGAGATCACCTGATCCCGCAGATAAGTGTTTGAGTAACTTGTCTTTCTTTGTGTGGTCCAAGCATGATACCAGTGGGGAAATCCCTTCAATTGCCCCTAAAAGATATACATCAAGCACTAAGAACAATATAATCTGCAAAATGCGATGAAATGTGCAAACAATCACAAACATCACTCTCACCATCTTCTAACACCTTTAAGAAAGGCAAACCCTTTGCTCCAGATTTAATAGCTTCATTGTAAATATCACCTTTCTTCAAAGCAGTATTTGAGTATGTCTTTCCTCCTGAAGGGACACACAAGGCTTTAACAATTCCCCCACTCTTCAAGGTATCTGCAAATGCCTTGAAGGAGGAATCTGAAAATATCTCAGATACCTGCAAGCCAAGACCATTAGGTAATCACTCCAAAAAACAAAAAATAGATTTAAGATTTCATAATATAGTATCATCTATGGTACCAAAAGAATGACAACCTGTCTCCCCCCCCCCTCTCCCAAAAAAAAAAAAGAAAAAGGGAAAAGAAACTATTTTTCTTGGGACAAACTGAAGAAGGGGCTATAGACTGCATTGGCAGCTCTCAGTTGAGAAAATTGAAAGAGATAAAGAATAAAAACAAATAATGCATGAAAACCAACAAGCTTTACATCTTTCAATCCAAGATCAAAACGAGTATCTGGCCTATCTGAACCGTATTGGCTCATGGCTTCAGCATAAGTGAGCCTTGGGAAAGGGTCAGGTAGCTGGACACCTTTGATCTCAAGGAAAACCTGCAGGAAAATATTTATCATGCCCCGTCAACTTACCAGTTGAATATCAGAAGTAACAGCAAAAGTAATATCAATACAGAATTAAGAGTTGTATTAAACATCTAAATTGGGCCATCAGAGCCCTCATCTACCCATGTAACCCATGCCTCGCTAGACCCTAACTCCATGCTACAAAAGGAAAAATTGGACAGCATCCAGCTTTAAACTTCAGGGGAAAAAATCAAGCTTATTAGAACAAACAACTATTTCGGAACAAACCTACATATATATATATATATATTATTTGCTGATACCAAAAGGAATCATATGATAGACTACAAGCATGACGAGGTAAAATTTACACTAAAACATACGTATAATTTGTTTCAATCTTCTAAAAGATATTTAGTCAGATAATGCAAAAGATTGTCATGTTTACTCAGAAGTAATAATTATTTTCGGCACCACATATAGGCCAAGCATGTGCACAGCTGATGATGTTTAGCTTCTATACAGCAAAATGTTATACAAGTTTTAACAAGATTAATGCTATTACAGTTCAATTCCCACACCCAGCCCATAACACAGGAGAATGTTACTAAAATTGGAAAGTAAAAGATCATACAAAAATCTACCAGGAGGTGCGAAACCTAGGTCATCAAATTCAATTACTAACCAATCAGTTGAAAAACAGGATTCAACCATCATATAGGCTCTGGTCGAAAATAACATTCGATTCAGAATTTCTGGAAGGTATTAAAAATTCAAATCAACAGTTTAGAGCCCCACAATGTACGTAAATTTAGTTATAATATTGCTATGGAAGAACAGCTTCTTTTAATGAAAATTTCAGGACATGTTTTACAGAATTTTATGTGCAGAAAATATATCTCACTTCAATAGAGGATTTTATCAAAGGTCTGAAGGAACTCACAAATTGTGAAATCAGATTATTGCTCTACTATCTATTAGGCTATCAACTACAGCAAACTAATTGGCAGGATCAAGGAAGTGAGAGGGGTCAGCTAAATGAAACGTATCTTAACTCACTGGATCATTCTAATGCTTTTATCCCCACCTCATTTCATTTTGTGATTTGTTACCTCATCAAACTATTTCTACCACCCAAAAAAAAAAAAAAAGACAACCTTCCTAATCAAATCTTCATTAAGTCTGAGCATGTCCTCTAAGGGAGTGAAAGCCATCTCCATATCTAGTTGCGTAAATTCAGGTTGTCTATCTGCCCTTAGATCTTCATCCCTGAAACACCTGCAAAGCAAGAGCAGATGAAGTCACATTGTGGTCTTGGTTGTATACTAATAAATGACCCAGCAATAAATGCAAAATTTCTTGATCCCCCTCTAGAATCCTTTTTCCTCATAATAATCTGAGGGGGGAAGGGGGGAGATCCTCTTCACATAAGTTGAACAATGTGTGGCAGAATGTAAAGATGCAAGAGAAAAGGGGAATTTAAATGAAAATCAACAGTCTGATCAAATAGTCGTAAACTTAAAACTTATTACCTTGCAATTTGATAGTATTTATCAAAACCAGAGACCATCAACATTTGTTTGAACAGCTGCGGACTTTGGGGCAAGGCATAAAATGTTCCTGGCTTTAAATGATGGAATTAAGCAATCAGATTTTTATTTGATGACTGATATATCTCTGGAAAACATAAACTTGAAACGTAGAGAATTAGATGTTAAAAAGCCAATAAAACAAGTAAATATTTTTCATCCTTGATGTTTCGATGTATCAAATGCTGTATGGAAATTGTTCAGCCTCCATCACTTCCAAAAGATCTACACGAGTTGTATTAAATGGCGTTCTCCTTTTCTTATCTTACAAGTTGCCTTGAGCGGGTTCTCAACAACAAAGGTAAAAAGTTTGGGGAATAACAGCTCAAATGCAATGAAATTTTAACTCTGAGTATAAATTTGAGAAGCTAAAAACATAGGTAGCCATAAAAGGCTGGAGATTAAGCGTAGCTTAGAAAACACAATTTGGCTTGAATTCGAGATTGAAGCCTGATGGGATGGGAATTCTTTCAAAATCACTAAGTCATCACCAGGACAAACGACAACATCAATACCAAGATTACATTTTGTTTTTCAATTCACTTCAACAGAAAACAAGGGAAAACACCAAAAGAGTGAAGAGGAGAAATTAGAGATAATCCCGAGATAGGTACATTTAACAGGGCAAATACTGTACCTGAATTCTTGAAGGGACAAGATAATCCCGAGCACCTTCTGGGGTAGATCTAGATAGAATTGGAGTCTCAATCTGCCTTACAAACATGAAGGCAAGGATCAGAGAGTGGAAGAGACAGACTCCAGTAGAATCTTCTGATTGCACTAAGATGTTAAAATGCAAACATTACCTCCACAAAACCATGTACATCCTCAAGGTACCTTCGGATGAGTTTTACCACTTGATGCCGCAATATAATGTTGGAAGTCATTTGTGGCCGGCGCAAATCAAGGCATCGATATCTAGTAACAGGTATGGGGACCATTTAATCCGTACAGTTTAAGAGACATGCATCGAAGATCTTACAAGCAGTAAACAATCAATATATTTTAGGCTATGGAAAAAACTATGGCCTCTGAAGCATTGCATGCTTTAAAGCCACAAACTACATTGAATAGAAAACACACATCATAGGGTATGGAACATGCAAAATGTGAGAATTGATGGTAAATAACCCATGCTACCTCTTCAACTATGTGGTTCAAAGATCAACATCACCAAAATCCCTTATCATCATATAGTGATATTACTTACTAATTTTATTTCTTCTCTTGTAAATGAGGCAAGCACTAGTATTCTTTTACTTAAGCAGTTAAGTGTCTCAGAAACAACTAGAACAACAAACCATGACCCAAGCAAACTCCAGTTTACCCACTCCAGTCACAATACCACAAATTAGCGAGAGGAAGCAGAAACAAAAGTAGACCTTCAATCATTAAGAAATGCCCAACTCGACCAGAAAAGTAAAAATATCAATTATCAAGAGAACTAACAGCAATCTGCAGAGAGAAGCAAAACATAAGCCCATGGTCAAAAAACTTCAGAAAGTTTTCA